TAATTTTCTGAGATTGTGGATTTGGGGTTTTCATGAGCTGTAAGCCATAATCATCACAGTTATGACACATCACGGCTTGAACTATCTTGCTTTGCATGTAATGAGTCTATCTCATATATTAGGTTCACCTTTTAAGTTGCATTACTGAAATAAATGAACTTTTGCACGATATTCTAATTTTTCGAGTTTCACCTGTAAGAGCAGATCCAAAGAACATTAAAGGACTTCAGATTTCAACATTCCATGGGACTAGGGTGTATGTGTGTGTGGGTGTTTGTTGATTAACTTTAATCAATTAACTTACTTTAATTAAGTTTCCAGATCTTGGGAGTAATAATAGAGAGTACTCATGAAGGTTACATCATCACAAAATGTGTTTTTGTTTTTCTGCAGGAATGAGTATAAGCATTTTCAGAAAATGACAATGACAACTAAAGAAGAAGGTAATAGTGGCTAATTTTTCCTGGATTGGGTGATGGCTGTCATTGTAGATGGACCCTTTATGACTTGTGGACTTCAACTGGCTCAGGAATTCTGGGAATTCAGGTCATAAAAGGGCCATAGTTCCCCACTCCTGATTTAGAAAGAAACTGCATCAAAACATTCTCAAATCTGCTTTGAGGATCCAAGCACATTATTGATTATATCAAGTCCAAATGCTGCTGAATGGGAATAATGTTTTTATGTTGTGGAAATACATTCTTGGTTCAGCTGAAATCAGTGGCAAAGCCTTAATAAGTTAAGAAAACAGTGTCATATTTATTTTGCATAGTAATATAATTTACAGTCTTAACATTTTGTATTCTTATCTTAGTAGTTCCTTACTACAACCTTCAAAATATGTTAGCATAATTCCAAATGTTTAGTTGAGTGATTTATTTAAAATGATTTAAAATGACTTAGAGAATAAGGGAACACCTAGCTCTCATATAAGTCTTTCAACTAAGGACTGCACAACTAAGTGCAATTTGTGTCCATTTCTATCCCTATTAGTGTAAGGATCAATTCATCAGTCCATGTGATAATAGGATATTAGAGACTTGCCCCAATTTATATTCTGGAAAGAAGGAACAGAAGAGAAAGATTTCTGGGCTGGGATGCATCAGAAGAGAAAGAAGATTGGGAGAGGCTGGAGGAAGGATATGTCTCTTCCACCATTTTACAACAAAATAATTTTCAAATCAGGGAAGGATTTTGTGGCAGCAATAAAAACCAATAGAAACAATAGGAAACAATCCCCACAACAAAGAACACCACAGTGTCATAACAAAATCAATAAAAAATGTAAAATCCAACAATTGGCCAGGAATAGCCATAAAATGGCTATGTCATACAGAACTTTACATTTTCTTGATATATTTGCAATCCAAATCTCATAATGTTTTGTGCTGTCTATCAGGAAACACAGAAGAAATGAAAAACTAAGGTCCTTTTTTTAAAAAAAATGGAAATCATCCTTCATCAGAGGCCATCCAAATTTTATTTTCTTCTCTAGCTGAGCTAGCAGTGAGCCACTGATATTAAGAGCTTTACAAATTTTGAAAAGTACTGCTTGAAATACTGCTTGAAACAGGTTGACTAAAAATAGCACTCTATAACCACTAGGCGGCACTACATAATCATATTAAATATATTTGCATTTTACAGGAAAGCAAAATGTGGTCATAATGGGTAGGAAGACTTGGTACTCCATCCCTGAGAAAAATCGTCCTTTAAAAAACAGAATTAATGTAGTACTTAGTAAAGAACTAAAGTAAGTACTAATGTTGATTTTTTTCCAAAATTTAAGAAAATCAGCTACAATGAGTAAATTGATTGTTGAGAGTGATGTGAACATGATAGCACCACCAACTTTGTAATAATTATATTTGATTAACTATAATTTACTTGTTCAGAAATACATATAGCCATTCTGTCAAAGAGCTGTTTAGCAGCAATAATTTCTTTTCATTTTAATGTGAGATATTCGTGGATATTTCATTTTCACATATCTTTGATTTTATGAGCAGATTGCAAAGAACCTTGCTTTTTTAGTTAGCATCCCCAGTAAATGTATGTTAATTTTAGTGCATTAATAATGCATATAGATTTTATTAAGGTTAGTTTTTAGCCCCCAAAATAATACATGTATTATGTTTTTGATTTTTAAAAACAGTTTGTATAATCTGGGGAAACCCCACACTAATATATCAGCAGGTTCTTTAATGATTTCTGTATGACTAAGTTACTTGCTATTCCAAATCAAAGTGCCCACCCTCTTTGCTATAACTTCTAAATCTGTTGCCAAAGTGCAATAATTCAAGTAGGGTTCCTAAAGTAGATATGTCAGTGGTGGCGAACCTATGGCACGGGTGCCAGAGGCGGCACTCAGAGCGCTCTCTGTGGGCACGCGCACCGTCGCCCCAGTCCTAGGCCTTCAGCTGGGTTTTATAAAACCTTTTCACTTTAGACCTCCGCCACCGTGTACAAAAAAAAAAGGTTCAATCAATCAGTCAATTTTAACTTCTCGTGGGGAAAAAAAAGATCTTGCAAAGTTGGAATTGATTGATTGAACTTTTTAGTCCCACCCAGTCTGCTGTTACCGCCGCAGCCACGCTCACCCAATGGGCCACGCCCACCCAATGGGCCACACCCACCCGGCACCTGACGATGCATAAGTGGGTTTTGGGTTGCAGTTTGGGCACTCGGTCTCTAAAAGGTTCTCCATCACTGAGATATGTGATTGAGATAAATGTATGTATTTCATGCCAAAGACACAAAAACAACATATTAGACCTAAAAAATATTCATTCTAAATAAATAAATAATTTTCGAATTCAAATTTAACTAATGTTGGTATTGGTATCAATTTTAGGAGTTCATAATATTTAATGTATATTTCCAAGCATTTTGAAGGATTATACTGGCTTGTTTAATTTTACTCTGTTGTTTTAAAGTTTTAATGTTTTGACTCTATTACATTAAAATTGAATACTGCTTGACTTTCATAGCTGAGCAATATTTTAACTAACTTAAATTTGAACAAAAATTTAATCACCTAGGCAGGGAATGGGTAGGGTAGAGCATGGATCCCCAACCTCTGGGCTGTTTGCAGCTGGGCCGCAGAAACGGCAGATCAGTCCGCACACATTCCCACTTGCTTGAGCAGCGGGCGAGCATGTGCACATGTGCTCCATTTGTGTGAATGATGGACATGTGTGCACTCGACTTGCACAAATGGAGCAGAGTGTGCTGGCTGCTCGCACAGAACCATCTCCTCTCCTCCTCCTCCCCCCCACCAGTCCACAAAGCTGGAAAGCTTGGGGAACTCTGGAGTAGAATATTCCAGAAAGTGGGTATGCCCTCTGCTGGTTTGATTGGGAGAACAAATTTTACATGAATCAGATGCACTTACAGATATATGAAGCCCATCTTAGAAGCAAAAAAGAAGAAATTTTTTTTTCCATAAAGCAAACTTTATTAAGAGTTGTTTTTTTGATGCTTGGCTACTATGTGTTTTGTTTTGTTTTTTTATTGGATGCATTTTCTCTTTTATTGTAAGCTGTCTAGAAAATGTATGTGAAATGAATGGTTATATAAATAAGAATAAATAAATATATAAATTTACCAAAGAAGACCAAAACCCTTCTATGTAATGTTGGAAATAAAAATAAGAGATAGCCAATTCTTCTTTCTCAAGAACAGACTGTGCATTCAATAATCAATTATTTCTAAAAGCTGCTTTTTATATTACTCATGTCAAGATAATTTGTAAAGTATCCACAGTTCCACTATTTTTTAAAAAATAGGTAACACTTCCATATGTTGTTCTTAATTCGTATTTGGCTGATTTGAATATCTTTTATTCAAGAACATAAGAAATGTCCTACTGGATCATCCTCTTGGCCCATGTAGTCTAGCAATCTGTTCTCACAGTGTCCACAAACTGTACAAGGAAGCCTCTATTGTCCCAAGAAATAGCCTTCAGAAGCAATCTTACTGCCATCATAGGTATTGATTCTCATGACTTCTATGAATTGGTCCAACTCTTTTTTTCAGGCCAACCTGACTGGTAGCCAGCTCCACATGTAATTTTAAATATAGTGAAGAAGGCAGTAGATAGTCTATTAGCCATCAGATCCTGCTGGATATTTGATGAGGCTCCATTGCCTCATGAAGGGGCCTTGGTTATGCTATCTGAGGCAGTACAACAACATGAAGCAGCTGCCTTTGTTTCTGAGAGCCCTTCTATTTTATCTGAATTAATGCTTGTTGTGCATTGAAAGAGATCAAAACAACTGCCAAAACATCAAAAAGAGAGCTGCAACTCCTGCCTCTGTCCTCTCTCTTGTTAGATAGCACAATAACAAAGTCTTGGCCAGTTGCTTTTTTTTCAAAGGAGCGCAGGCACTGCCTTAGCCTGATGTTTTTTCTCTTTTGCAATAGTGACAAGTATCTGTAGCTCGGGTGTAGGATGAGGGTGAAGGTTCGTTCTCCATTCACCTATTTAATAATGTAATAATCAGAGAATAACTTTTTGGGATTCATTAGTTGTCTTATAAGAGTTCTCAGGTTTCATAGAATGTGTGGAATGTTTTTTCTTATTATCTTCCTTTTCAACTTAATAAAAGTTAAATCAGTTTGGATGAAATTCATAATGGTGATGCAAAAAAAATCAAATCATCAATATTGAATTGTAAAGGACATAAATGCCAGTCAAATAAATTAATACAGTGCAAGCATCTGAAAGGAGAGGTTTCCTCCATGGAACGTAATGAAGTTTGAGTTTTGCCCTTAATCTTTTCCTGATAGGTTTATCTATTGGTGGCCAGAAAGATACTTCACAGTAAGTCCAACTACTTACTCTGCTATACATCTACCCCCCCAATGTTCTTGGATTTTAATTGGTAATATGTTTATGCTTTAAGGGATGTTCCTGACGGGGCCCATTACTTGGCTAAAAGTCTGGAAGAAGCCCTAGATCATCTTGAAACACCAGAGATGAAAAGAAAGGTAGACAAGATTTGGATAGTTGGAGGAAGTTCAGTATATAAGGTATGGTTTAAATACAGAACATCTTTAAATAATCTAATAATCAGAGATTAACTTTTTGGGATTCATTGGTTGTTCTATAACAGTTCTCAGGTTTCATAGAATGTGTGGAATGTTCTTTCTTATTATCTTCCTTTTCAACTTAATAAAGTTAAATCAGTTTGGATAAAATTCATAATGATGATGCAAAAAAAATCAAATCATCATTATTGAATTATTAAGGATATAAATGCCAGTCAAATAAATTAATATAATTTAAAGCTGCAACTTATCCAATGTTACAATTTGATTAAAATATTCCTGCAATAAATGGTTCCATTTTGTAAACATTCTAATTCTATTTACTGATTCTGTTATTTATCTGAGTTATATGAAGTGCATGAAAGTCATCAAATATAATGATGTCAGGAGCCCACTCTTTTCATTTTTGCTTTTTCATTTTGGGTCATTGTAATCTAGTTATTACAAATTCTTTATTAGTTTCAAATATTATATCCTTAATATAACAAAATCATAATTGGTAACAAACTATTGTTATATGATGACTTCTATTAAATCTGAATATTGTGTTCATAACTAATTTAGTGTCTTCAGAATATTGTTTATAGTTTATTGATAACGTGTTTCCCCAAAAATGAGACTCGGTCTTTTTTTTTTTTTTGTCTCCAAAAGAGGCATTTGGCATTATTTTCAGGGAATGTCTTATTTTTTCCATTCTCTTGCCTCATAGCAGTGGCACCAACAGCCCTTTCCAGCAGGAACCCATGTGACCATCGTCGGCCCACTTCTTCTGCAGCTGCTGCTTCCACACATTGCCCCCAGCCTCCGTTTCGCTGGCAGAGGCCTTCAGGAAAGGCCTCTGCAGCCAAGAACAGAGCCCCAGGTTGACGCACGCATCGCCCCTGGCCTTCATTTAACCAGCAGAGGCCTTCCGGTGGTGGCGGCATTGACAGCCCCATCCAGAGAGAGCCCGTGTGGCTGACGCCAGCCCACTTCTTTTGCGGCCGCTCTCTGCTGCTCACGTGTGTCAACCTGGCTGGGGGGGCGATGTGTCAGTCAACCTGGGGCTCCGTTCTTGGCTGCAGAGGCCTTTCCTGAAGAACTCTGCTGGTAAAATGGAGGCTAAAGGCAACGAGTGCAAGCAGTAACGAGCAGCCACAGAAGAAGTGGGCCGGTAGCGGTCATGCGGGCTGCTGCTAGACAAGGCTGTCAGTGTTACCACTGCGAGGCAAGGAAGGTGTCAGGGCATGGGAGGCCTGGCTGTGGGGCCCTGAAGTAAGCAGGTGTGGGACATGTGGGGCAGTTCCATCCCCTCCTTCACCTGCCTTGCCTCACCTCGCGGCGGCACCACGAATAACCAGACCGAATGGGCAGGGGGCCAGCTGTGCAAGCTCTTAAATACGGCTTATTTTAGGACTTATATTAGACTCACACATAAAAATAAAGCTAGGGTTTATTTTCAGGATAGGTCTTATTTTCGGGGAAACATGGTATGCTTCCTTAATATTTTAAAGTTTTCTTTCAAACTGATTACATATATCTTGTAAATATATTTTTCCTTACATAATTAAAAGTTTCACTGAGATCAATAAAATCTTTCCAAATATCCATGTCTAAACTAAAGCTAAAACTAAAGCCTTTTGGAACATCTTACCCTCTAAGGCAGTGTTTCTCAACCTTGACAATTTTAAGGCATGTGGACTTCAACTCCCAGAATTCCACAGCCAGCATCGCTGGCTGTGGAATTCTGGGAGTTGAAGTCCACATGCCTTAAAATTGTCAAGGTTGAGAAACACTGCTCTAAGGTAAGATCTGTGCCCATCCTCCTATCCTTCCTCAAGAGCCTGAAGATCTGGTTCTGGTTGGCCTGGAGACCAGATGAGGGAATACCATGCTGGAGGTAGTTGCTGAATTGATGGCAGATTCCCCTCCCTGCTCTCTACTCTCCGCCCATCCATCTTTTTGTTACCATGTTGATGTATTCTCATGTTTTCACTGTTTATTTTATTGTACTATTATTTTACTTAGGTTTATACGCTTCGTTTCTTCCTTTTTAAGCTGCCTTAAAGTAGCAAAATAGGCAGCACATAAATTTAACAAGTAATAATAAATGTCTATGAAGATTCTCAGTCATCCAGGTCATGGTTGTCCCAAAAGTATTTTTTCAAAAGACAACTGGACTTTGTTTTTTCCTTGAAGATATTTCACTTCTCATCTAAGAAGCTGCTTCAGTTGAAGAAGCTTCTTGGATGAGAAGCAAAATGTCTTCAAGGAAAAAACAAAGTCCAGTTGTCTTTTGAAAAAACACTTTTGGGATAAGTAATAATAAATAACTAAACCCCAAAGAAACTTTTAAAATTATATTAAAAAATAAAGCTATTTTCTAAGACAGGGGTAGGCAACCTTGGCTCTTTTATGACTTGTGGACTTCAACTCCCAGAATTCCTGAGCCAGCCATGCTGAGGGAAAAGGGAGATGTTTCCAAGCTGAGCCATGCTGGCTCAGGAATTCTGGGAGTTGAAGTCCACGAGTCATAAAAGAGCCAAGGTTGCCCACCCCTGTTCTAAGATATAGGTAATCCTCAACTTACGACCACAAATGGAACTGGAATTTTGGTCACTAAGCAATGCAATCATTAAGCAAATCATGTGATGAAACCCAATTTTAAATTTACGCCTCCAATGCCAATGCTATCATGCCCTATAAATACTTATTATCTATTAGTAATGGATATGAATACATTTGTTTGCTGTAATCCAATTTTCAATAGAGATTTGCTTTTGAAATTTTTTGTTTAATAAAACTGCAAAAAATGTTTAGGAAAACCTTTCCCAAGTTAGCCTGCAACAGAAATTTTCAGTCAAATTACATTTGTTTAATTATAATCTCACCAATTTCTAAAACTCTAGCTGTAAAATGTTATTTGGGTTGAAAATGCATATGTACATACAGTTTCAATGTTGATTATCATTTTGATTTTTCATTTAGTATGATTTGAAAATATATATATATATATTGTACTTATTACTGCACCACTATTTCAGTGAGTGTGAAAATATCCATATATTTTTTATGCAGCCTTTACAAATTTTATATGCAGAAAGACAAAAAGCACTGTTTTAAATGACCTGGTTCAAAACTGCTGAACAGATTTTTCTGAGCAGAAACCCATGAACAGCTGTCAGTGGCAAATAATTAGTCAAGTTTATTTTATACTCCAAGAGAGAATATCAGCTGACTCATTTTGATTAATGCATTTGCAAAGTGTTACTCATTTGTAAGGAGAACAAGAGATGTGATGTTTAGTTTATCAGTTAGTGAATAATGGAAAATGAAGGGCTTTTGTTACCCTTGCTGATAAAATACTTTACTCCACATCTAAAAAGCAATGTTTTTGTAAGCCTTCAAAAAACATATTTTTATTTATTTATTTACATGGATTTATATGCCGCCCTTCTCCCTATAGGACTCAGGGCGGCTTACAGCATATTAAAACACATAAAACATCGTCCCCCCTTAAAAACCAAATATTTATTTTTTTTTTCGCTGTATAATTAATTAAGATTTAAATTAAAATTGTCCCTATTTAAAAATTCTCCCTAGGCCAGACCCGCTTGTTGAAAAAGCCATGTCTTGAGGGCGCGGCGAAAAGGTAGGAGGTCCGGAATCGTCCGGATCTCGGGGGGTAGTTCGTTCCAGAGGGTGGGGGCACCCACAGAGAAGGCCCTCCC